CGTATGGATTGTCGAACCGTGAACCAGGCCGGGCTTAGCACTGTCTCCGGACTATTTTCCGGTTCACTGTCATAGCGGGCTGCTCCCATGGGTTTCGCTGTTTGGGACAGGTGACAGAGGTCGGGAAGTAACTTCCAGGCACAACTCCGGCATTACATCCCAAGATTTAAAGTACATGTGCCTTGGCCAACGAAGAATTAAGCCTCAGAAAAAAATGGATTAGCAATCATAATTCAAAGATCTCCTTTTTATAAATTATCCTCGCTCAACATGGTACGTTCCTTGAGAAGCAGAACGTTTTGCTTTCGTCTACATATAGCCAAGAAACAGAGCACCGGATCCAGTTGACCAGCATCCTGGAAACAAAACGTTTCAATTATGTTACTAAATAATTGAAGTAACACAGTACCATAATGTTGGGTATTTGCTTCGTTTTTCGCGTCCGCCCTTCCGGCGTCGTCCACTTCGCTATCTCATTGTGCGGCGCACTGGTATAGCACGGCTTAATCTCTGCTGGCGGCAAAATCGAGATTATATCGAGCTGTCATGCTCGCTATGAGGTCACAACTACAAAGGAATCGCTGTAAATAACATTGGCAGCATTTCCGCCCAATACACCACTATCATTTGAAAGATCAGGGGTCCTGCTGCTTTCATAATAAAGCTTAGTTAGATCGCCATGTTTGCGAGATAATGACATTATTCACCTCCATAAAACACTACCAGCTGCGTATTCGATGTGCTCCAGAACTATCCATTGTATTCTCGTAACAAGCCGATCAAACGTGAGCGAACCGACTCACGCTAAAGGTACTACCTTGATAGACTCACATACAGGTCACATAAGGTAAGGTACACGGGACGTATTCGTGCAGAATGAGGATTTTTATAGCTCAAGTTGCTAAAATATTCCTGCTCTTGCCACGCCGGTACCGCGTCGCGTTCAACGATTTGATATGGCTGAGCTGTCCACCAGCACCATTGACAGGAAAGAAGTGAAGTAAAATCAACGAACTCGTGTCCAATGCAAGCAAAAACTGAGATGGCAACTACGTATACTTGGTATGCTAACTCGTTTCCAATGCGAGCAGGACAATTGAGATGACATTTAGATCTTAAGGCGAGGTTTGACATGATCGAGGACGCGACGCAGCATCCAGCCGTCGCTGGCCGTAATAGTTGATGAACTGTACGCCATCATGATTGAGTTCGGGAAATCTCTTGCCGGCTTGGAGTCCAAGCCATAAAAATCCGGGAGACCGAAGCCGTGACCGATCTCGTGGCCAATGAACAAAATATCCTCGTCGTAGAGGTTGTTCATGGTATCGTTTAAGCTCACCTCCTGGCCCCAGTCGTAGCCGTAGCCATAGGGGATATCTTCCTTCAGCCAAAACGAAACATCAAAAGGTTCACTCTCACACGCGCTCGTGTCCGACCACATATTGTTGACGTGGTCGTAGAAGCGATAGCATTCAACCGGACACTGAGGCACACCATCCGAGTCGAGATTCCTCTCATAAAGTTTGCCCAGAGACTCGTCCGTCCAGTCGAACTGTGACGCTTATCTGGCAGCGAAGCCCACCATATTCACCTCGAGCTTCCTGAACGGCCAGCAGTTGTATCCCTCCAACCATTTGTTCCACTTGTTGTAGTGGCGTTCGAGAACGTCCTTGAATTTGGATGCGATATCCTTCTTCAGGTTGGTACTGGTATCCCAGCGGACGCAGTAGTTGATTGAGTCGTTGTTGTGTACGAACTTGTCCAAGAAAAAGTTTTTGTTGGTCATGACGTTCCAGTTGACGTCCTTCTTAAGCTTTGCGCTCGGGCCAATACGATTCTGCCAGACCCAATCCAGGTATTCTTCGCTAATGTATTCGACCGGTTTAGCGACGACGCATTCACCTGACTTAGAGACGATTTGTCCGAAGGTGGGCTCCGCGCTACTGATGTTGGTGCCTGTAAACGCGACGACCGGTTGCCCCGCCTCAGCCACGAATCGAATAACGTCACCTCCAGCGGTTTTTGAGCCCTGCTGTTGTTGCTGCTGCTGTTCGTTTTGCTGATGTTCGTCAACTGTAGAGGATGGAGCTTCAGTTCCGACACTTGAGTCTGTCGGTGTCGGTAAAGGGGCGGTGGTCTGGTCAGCTTGTGATACCTCCGTTTCTTTACCTTCTGAATAGGAAACGCTTGGATTTCTCGGTGAGGTTTCGGCCGGTGGCCGCCCTTGAAGCTCACCGGAGCTCGAGGAAGCCAAAGGAATAATGTCGACGGGCTCCATCATTGAAATGGCCGAACTGTTTCTGCTCCAGGACTCAATGACCCTGCTGGTTCTAGCCAATTGTCTTGATTGGAAAACAAAGTTTCTCCCGACGACCCCGTATGCTGAGACCACTCGTTCATCGACTGAGCGGATGGCCATCCTTGGCCACCAGTGCCGACGGACTCGCCGGTTGAAGGATTTATGACCTCTACGGATCTCCCGAAGTCGCCTAACGAAGTAGGAGCTACAGTGCCGGTCGCCCGCACAACGCCATTTCCGCCGTTGAAGTCGAGAGTGGACGACGTTGCCGCCAGGTTAGCTAGAAGAAATATAAGGTGCTGCAAAGTATTTTGCTTCATCTGTGATACGAAAAATCGCAAATGTCCTAAATGAACTGCTAAGGCGCAGACTGGATCAATAGTGCGTAGAACGGGGAACTGTATTTATAAAGGCATTTGTCTGAACTCGTGGAATGCCGTTCGTCTTTATACATGTAAAAGTATAGCGATTTCGTGTCCATCGTAAGAATTCGTGGAATAGATATTGAAGCGGGTCCCTTACTCATCTGAAACTGTACATACTATTAATAACTAATACCATAGTGGCGAATTTCCTCAGGGTTGTTGAGCATCGTCGCGCCAAACGTACTTCCTTCGTTCCACAGATTTAACGACTTTTGTACTAGCGTGTAGTAATGGTGATGGCAAAATAAGGCATCGGTTCGATGCATACAGGTACGTAGTAGTGTTGTTATCGCTTTTGACATGACGACGGATAAGATTACGAGCAAACAGAATTGCGATAAAACTACCATAATCCACTGTGTACAGTTCCAATTCTTGATGTGACTTACAGTTAGAGGATCTCCAACGGTTGTGGATAAAACAACATGTATTAACTCGAAATGCCTGTAACAACCCGCAGCGTCTATGGGGGGCCTCAATTAAGGAAATGTCGTACAGCTATGAAAGGTACACAACGCGACATCAATACTGTATATGAAATTACGAAGTTTGAACTTTAGATCAATTCTAGATCACCAGCAGCGA